TTTTTTTTTTTTTTTGTTTTGCCTCCTAGAAGACAGACTTCAGCCAGCATTGTTGGGGATCTTCTGAAAACTGATGGAAATATGAACATAGAAAAGTATCCTCAGAGTCTGATCCACCAAGTATCATCATCTGGAAAGCTTTTGATTTTTCAGCCTAACACTGATCCCAAACAGTGTCAGTGCAGTGAAACCCCACATGGATAGAACAAACACGCAGTGAAACACTATCAGCCATGGATTGGCCTCCCCAAACCATGGACCTCAACATTACTGAAACAACGTACAATCATCTTGGCTCTGAATGTCTTTTAAGAAGCCTGGAGAACTATTCCTGAAGATGACTTAAATAAATTACAAGAAAGCTTGTGTAAGAGAGTTCAGGCAGTGTTGAAGAATAAATGTGGTCATACTAGATATTGACTTTCAAACTTGCTAGAATTGCACAAACTATTTTCTCTTATATACTGTTATACACTCTTATATAAATTGTTCACCCCTTTCTCATTTTCCTGGCAAAATAGTAAAAAAAATTAGGGGTGGCTAATGGATATGGTAAAAACTCAGGTTGTAGCCTGTAGATATTTAACTAAAGGAAATTGAATTAGTATTCTGCCGAAGCTTTGAGTCGAATGATCGCTGCTGTGCTGACTGCAGGGAATTGGGAGTCATAAGGGTTCTATTGATTCATTCTGGCTGCTGACCAGATGACTAAGCTTTGTATCCATTCGTCTTCCCTAAACACATTAAAATACAATCTGACGCCTGAGCGGACGGTCACATTAAGTGACAGAAAACCACCAGCGGGTTTACTATGTTACACACAGAAGTGGTTTTACATTTTGGAGAGAGAAACCTGAAGGAGGGTAGACTTTTACTTCTAAACGTCTACCTTGTTTTGTTTGGAATTAAGAGTACCTTTGGCCTGGGTGCTTGTGTGGCTTGGGTGGTTTGCTGAGTCGCTGTGGGTGCACTGAACTGCTTGGTGAGGCTCCAACTAAAGCAAAAGACCACTTCTACCAGCCTTCATTTCATCCCACTGCTAATGAGCTGTGACAAGCACTCAGCTCACTGGGTTACCCCATGTCTACAACCACACTGGTATCTGTGCAACTGTGTTATTAATGGGGTGCAGTTGAGGAGGGCTGGGCAGCTTTTAACCAACACCTGATGGCAGACCACCCTGACGAATACGCACCTAAATTTAACTGGTTAGTAAAACAGTAAAGCATAACAGAAATTTGAGACACAGGCGAACACGCTAAAAGGATGCACTCATTCATGCTGAAAATGAATAATAATCTGATATAAAATGGTGGCAAAGCCATTTTAAGTATTGGTAAAGCAGATGCGTGCAACCAGTGCAGCTGCAAGGACGTTTAAATCCTAAAAAAGCACAATGAAAGGGATTTAGTCAACAAGACAATCCTGTTGGGAGACCCTGACAAAGCATAAGAGACTCCCTCCAGACGGCAACAAAACGCAAACGACAAGAGGGAGAAAAAAAAATAGTGGAATTCACTGTGCTGGACGACCATCCCCTCAGTGAAATGTGGGGTTTCAATGCTCTCCAGCCTCCCTTCATGCTGCCAAAGTCACATTTCATCTCCAAAGCAGCTGTCCCACATCTGTACAGTTACTGAGTGAGTTCCTTTAGAAACAAAAATGACCTGAAAGCCGTAGCCTGAACATGAATCCAGGTCATTAATAACTGTCAGTACTGTGGAGACAACGAGCCAGTATGTCGTGCTAAACTATGCCATATTTACTCAGATACAGGGGGCCAATTTTAGTGTAGCTCAACTTTAACAGTTGCAACTAATAACTTTATGTCAATGTTTAACTCACATCAGGTCTTAAGGTTCTTAAGGTTCATAAATATAGAACTTATTAGAGCCTATGTATCCTATCATTATCCAGCTTAAGTCATAAAAGAAGTAAAAATAGACTGCTGGCTCAAAGCCCACCAACCACCACTACTTACCAGGAGGTCTGCTCAGGCACAGCCTTCACAGCACAGCTGGCTAGAAAAGCAAACACACAGCCCACATGAAGGACCTGCTTCAGTCAGTAATGCTGCTACAAGATCTAAACTATATTGACACAACTGGCTAACTAACTACTTGCTTTGGAACGTGTCT